GCTAGCTTTGGTTACAGAATGAAGAGGAATATGTACACTCCTTTTTCATTAAGCTGGACACAAGGAATAGGATGTTGACACATCTGTGTCATAAGCACTGAAACACCATCACAGAGCCCTAAAGATTTGCTTGCCCTCAACCGAAGCAATTAATTGGGAAGGTAGAAATTTTAATATGTGACTAAAACTTTTGTTTACTCATCTGCTGCTTAGATCAACTGAACATAAGACCTACAGAGCAGTTGGCATGCCAGTCTTATTCCCACCACTGTGGCCAGAATCCAACTTCTGTCACATTGCCACTTCAGTATTACAATACACAAGACCCATACTAGCAAAGGAGAAACATGGATGCTTGCTGAGAGAATGCCAGGCATGGGCTTTGCTGGGATAAACCTGTTTAACTTGCATCCCATCACATGAAACAGATTTAATGGCCAGGGCATTAGGCTAAATGTGGGATCGTGGTCCATATGTTTGGTGAGCTTCAAGTTTACCTGGTGGCTTGGAGCAGGTCAGTACATTTCCACCTGGCCTACTTCACAGGCCGAGGGAGATTGAAATAATTTTCTGCTTTTTAGGAGGGCAGAAAAGTAAAAATATTAAGCCACAGAGGCTTATTTAAATTATAGTACATGCCAACAGCAGCCTATGGGTTGCTGGAGGGCTACTTCTCCCTCCCACAAGCCATGCTGTCCAGGTTCAAATGACACGACAGGTTGCCTGCTGGGCACTGAATAAGGAAATTACACTTAAGTGCTGTGAGCCCATTGGTTAAGGGACCAGCTCAGGCAGTTACAGAAGAGACCTACTGAAATCAACAAACCCACAAGTAACTGGACCCTCTGATTTCAATGGCTCTGCTCTTGAGCTAGACTAAGTTTGCATGCAACTTGCTAAATCAAGGTGTTTCGCATAATGAAACCAGTGCTTGTGCTGATGTGGTCTGAAGAGCCAGACTTGAAGGATTCTCTTCAGAACAAATATTTATTCCATGTGTCCAGGTATGTTTCTAAAAAAACAAAAACCTTTGTAATTGAGATCAGAAGGGGCAGTCATAAATATTTTGTGTTAATTTGAATTATCAAGTAAGGTCTGACTTCTATCACTGTTCTCAGTTACAACTCATGAACTTGGCTGATGGGCCTGTATTGTTTTTACAGGAGCCAGCTGGTTGTTGAATTATTCTAATTTTACATAAAAATGGACGCCTGCTTCTTATTTTGTCATCCACATTTTAATGCAGTTTCCAAGACTATATATGGTGTGATCAAATATATTCTAGTACTGGAGTGGTGGGTTAGGCTTGACTTAAAAGGTTTGTGAACAATAAATATGCTGATGTGTGTATTCTGAATGTTGTTATGCATATTACAGTTTATCCACACAGATAATATTCAGTAACATAAAGCACTGCCTAAAAGTCTGGTGCTCTAGAAGATTGTGAGGTGGGTTGGAAGTGGCTGGAATGTTATACAGAAAATAGGTTCTGCATCCTAGGCATTCATTTAATCATTTGTATACTTTCCTGAGCTGTGCATAAAATCAATTTAGAATCAAGGAAGAATCTGAGATAGGAAGGAAAATTCAATTTTGATGTCAGAAAGAGCTTGGGCAGGAAGTTCAAAAATGGTTAATTCTTCTCCGTCACATTGATCCTGCAACTGAAACTGAAGGAAGTGGGGTCCAGAGAAATACAGAACAGGTTCAGAGGATGAGTGTTGTGATTTTATATATCTGTATCAATATATTGCGCGTGCGCACACACACACACACTTTTCTAGTTATTTAGTTTCATACTGGAACTTTTTTCAGGGGAGGATTTAAAAATATTGATTAAATCTGCAAATTTCAACCTAACCAGTTCAGAGCTTTGGAAAAAGGAATCTCAGAGAAAGTGTGCGTGTGCGTGTGCGTGTGCGTGTGCGTGAGAGAGAGAGAGAGAGAGAGAGAGAGAGAGAGAGAGAGAGAGAGAGAGAGAGAGAGAGAACGAACAGGAGAAAGGGAACAGAAAAGGTGTGGAACGGAGAGAGAAGGAAAGAAGCAGGCACATGTGCCAGAGAATGAGAAGAACCAGGGGTAGGGGGAAAGAAAGTGCAATCATGAGTATTCAAAGGGGATGGCAAAGAGCACAAGAGAGAAAAGGGGGAACAGAGGACACTAGCATGTGACTTCTCACAGATTATCCCAGAGGAAATGCTACACTTAGCCAAAAACATCACGTTTCCCTAGCTTAATCAATGTATAATGCATTGAGAATGATCCAGAATAAATATTTACTACAAAGGAAACATCATAATGCAAACTAGACAGCCCCTCCCTACATGCAAAACATCCCAGCAAAAATAAGCAATGCCTTAAATTTCAGCTCTGCCACAAACTCACTGAGCATCGCCATTGTCACTTAGCTTCCTCTTTGCAGAGGGGAATCCTACTTGACATGGTCCTTATAAAGATTACAGAAGGGCAATACCTGAAAAAAATATTTTGAACACTTGAAAGCAAACTATATCATTCCTGTTGCCACATAAACATATCCTTCTGTACGAAAAAGTCCATGAAGCTTTCATTTCTTGCTTTTACTGGCAAACAGAAAATAGTCCTCTGATAGGCGTATCAGAGCTGCCAGAAAAGCATTATGAGAGACACCATCACGTCCTGCATCAGGCTATCATTGTTTGTGTAAGGCAATGGCAATTTGAAAGTTTGAGGAGCATTGCTATAGCTTCTGTTCTAAATCTAAATCTGACCAAGACATTCTTCTCCATCCAGTAGTACTATTTATATCTGAGACTTGCTCAAATAAGTGTGACCCTTGCCAATGTAACTGCCTTTCAGAACTCTTACTTGCTTCCCAGAGCAAGATCCATTCCCTCCCTATCTGTAGTTTTCCTGCACTTGCAGGACTGAAGCCTGCAGAGTATGCTGGCCCAGCAGCCCCAGCCATCATGCCTAATCCAGGATAATGGGAGTTGTATTCCACAACTTCTGGATAGGCACTAGGCTGGGAATGGACAAAGTTGTCTGAGCATTTTCAGGCTCACCTATAGACAGCAGCAGAGGCTTCATGATTTGAAGGATCACATTCCTCATGTGACATCTCTGCCTTTAAGCACAAAATCCAAATATCACTCTTTGAAATTTCAATTATTAGTATGCTAACAATCCTTACAAATACATTCCTTTATAAAGCTTAGAGCTCAGAAGTGGAAGACAACTTGAAAGGCCATCATCTAAAATAACACGTGTTTATAAAAATTGGCATAAATTCTTGCCTGGCCCCTTTCATTTTGATGGGGTAACAGTATGTTATTCTCAGTAGTTGAAAGGTCTTGAAGCTTTCGTTTTGAACCCACAGGTGTTCTTTGTAGAATCTATTCTTTAATAAAGAGAATTATTTGTTTTTTTAAATTAGCTCATATTGTGAGTTACCACATCTGTGCTATGTGGTAATGAAACCCAGGGGGAGGTCACAGCAGGAGGGGGGGAATTCAGCATGAAGAAAACATCTGGATATCACTTTGAGATTCACTTGCAGCTTATATTTTATTAAGAAGTCAAGAAAATTATGCTTTTCTCAATCGTAGCACCCAGAAAAATGATACAGAAAGACCTAGCCATGAACAAATATGCCTTCCCTCAGTGAATTTGGGGATATTTGGCATCTGTTTTAAAAGATTTCTTTGGTAACCAATATGGCAACTTGATAAAATTTTCACATTTTCTTTTGCAGGACTCTAATGTATTCCATACCAAGCTGTTGTCATTCTCTTCAATAAGTTATTGTAATGGATCCATATTTTACTTTAGGCAAAAGGATGTGCCTATACCAATGTTATCAGCCTTGCAATTGCCTGGGTCTGAAGCATAAAAGGAATATGGCCTCGAATGAAAAGACTGCACCTGGGAGATTCCTTTAGGTTGGACTCCACATTTTAGAAATACGACCAACCACCCCCCTGTAATCTTAAGTATTTAACCTTCAGGAGTCTCCTTGGCTGAACATACAGGTCATCCTAAAAAGCACTGAGACACCATACAGCAGTTGCCTCAGCAAGTAATGCTGACGACTAAATATTTAGGAACTATCCCATTAAGAGATCAAAGCAAGCACTTAAAGTGGAGTCGGCTGACTGTCCCACAGCTCAAAGGCAGCTGCAGCACTGAACATTAAGTTCCCGGAACGTTTATAAAAGACTGCATTTATGCATTACAGCTTCTGAGTAACAAACAGAGACATTACATTGGCTCAGTCGCAGACTGAATGCTTTCTCTAAAGAGGCATGTAGCTTTTTATAAGAAACAGAGCATTTCAAGAAGCCAGTAAGTTAGAGGGGGTGTGGACCTTAGAAAGAGCCTGTGTTCTTCAAAACAGGAAACTATTTTGAAAAGTCAATCAGAACTTGGCACTGCAATTACTACCACCACCTGGAAGCTTGCCTGGATAACTGGTTACAGTACATTGCCTTTTCAAGTAAGTCCCCACTGAGAGAAGCCAGTTCTGGGAGAAACTCAGAGTATGTACTACTGGCCAGGACGGTGCCAACTTTGTGGTGCCTGGGATTTGGCCCTGCTCTCTTCTCTGCCTATAGCAATACCTAAAGGCATGATCTCTGACATAACTGCTGATTGCTCTGATTTCCATCGAATACCTACTGGCTCACACTTGAAACTCCTGAAGTATGGATGATCACTCCATAACCAGCCCTGCCTTATTTCCACACCTATCTGGTTTTATAATTAACCCAAGGCTTTCCTCATGTGACACACTTCGGCCTCCTTCCACATTTCTAGTCAAGGTTCTCACTACACAAACCACAAGGTCAAACCTAGTTGCATTATGTTTGACTCCACAAATGCAACTATGATAAAAAGAGATAGTACCCCCTGCTGCATTTATCATTTTAACTGTCTGCATTTTAATTTTGACTTCCAAAAATATAAACAGACATTTGTGTATCTACAAGAGAAATTAAAAGAAAAGACACCAGACTATCCTCCCCATTCCCATAGGGTATTTTATTTTATGTATCATTTGCATCAGATAATCAACTGAAAACACTTCAACAACAGAAAGCTCTTGGAAAGAGGGAAAAATGAAGCAATTGTCTCAAAACAGATGTGACAAAATAGTTTTAAATTTGGGAGACTATTGCACAATTGAATCAGCAGATGAAGAGAAAGGAAAACAGAAGTAAGCATCTTCTAACATGGATTGTGAGGAAAAAAGGCACTATTTAGCTGTGTGTGTGTGTGTTTGTTTTTAAAAAAAGAGAGGCACAATCCATGTTCTCAAAATTACATTCGATACTGCTTCTGAAATGCTCTAACACAGAAGCTACAGTTTTGTTTTCCAAAATTTCAGAGATATACAAGCGTTTAAACAGACCTTTAGCAAACCTCCTACAAAAATCTTCACAAGGGCTTCAATTTATAAATAGGTGTCACCAAAGGTTACACAGCTACTAGGCTTAAGATAGGCTATAGCCTGGCAACTGATAATTCAACTTCCTTTAGGCTGATCTTGAATAGTCACAAAATACTCCTTTTAAGAGCCAAATTGACAGTGGACACACTAAGAGGCTTTTCAGCATGCTCCCTCTGCAGCTTAGCCTAGCCCCCATACATATTCATACAACACTTTTCCAATACCATGTGATGCGTAAAAACAAGAATGGCTATAAACCGATCTAGTTATGCTGAAATCATATTATGCTTATTTTGAAGCATATTCCATCAAAGTTAATGGGCTTTATTCCAGGATTTTAACAGAGGCAAATGTTTGGGATCAGAACAAAATGACAGCTGCTCATATTCAGAACTGCAAAGTTTCTAAAAGGCAAGCCAGATTTCTTAGGAGACTTGGTTACACTCACACACTTCAACTCCCATTTCAATTATGTAAGATCTAGGGGTCTGTACTAGAGTATTTGAGCAGGTACACATTGTACATTTTGTAGCACTCATTTGCTAAATTCTGACATTCTAACTATAAATCCTCGCTTAATTATTAAGTTCTGCATGTTAGGTTTCCCAAAAAAGTACCAATAATTGTAAATGCCAATGAATGTTGCTACATTTTTAAATGTGCAAATTCTTATAACTAAATTTTCAGATTATGTTTTTCTGAATGCAGTACCTCAAGTCAGTGAATTAGTAACATTTCAGTATATTATAAAATGATCTTTTTTAAATGCAGAGATATGATAAAGAATTGAATATACCCTCAGGATGTCTGAACAGCTCAATACTGTTTAGTGTTTGGAGGTGACAAACATGTATAGACCAGTGGAGCAAACTAAGGCCTTGAATCCCAGTTCTATGGCCACAGAAAATTCTGGTCTAAATTGACCACTCATTTCAGTGAAAGAAACAACCCATGTACAGAACCATCTGTGTCCTCTATTCATATGAATGGGGCTGCCACTGCAGATTGGATGAGGTTTATATCAGGAAAATGAGATTATACCAGGAATGTTGATGACAGATATATAAACCATCTTGGATATTTGGATTTATAGAATATATAAGGTATCCGTAAAGAAATAGTATTTTCCTTCCCTGCTGCCATCCCTTACAAAACCTAAGGATTTGTAAAGGAATTCTTTAAAAGCTCCTACTATTTTATTTGAAGCATATATTAAAGTATCTTAATGAGATTAATACTATGAACGAATTATCATCAGGACTGTGGGCTGTATCTTTAATGCAACATTATTCAATATCCAATGAAACATCTAATTCAGGTTTATAACTAGTGAAACAATTTTCTCTAAATGTAAGGATAAAATAAGTCATAACTGTCCAACATACATGATTGGGCTTAGAAGATACTTTCAGTAGCCTTTGGACATTAATTTTCTCAGTTTTGGTTTTCTCTTCACTCCTTTTCAGCATTTTCATTTCAAATTTGGAGAATTTTAAACATCTGTTTTCAGAGAGTTACAGTTCATGGATCTGTATAAAAAAGGCAATATTTCAGCAGCCAATCATGCTTTGTGGGTGCCATTTGGGAGGATGCCTAGCCTGCAAGGAATGTTTTCAACAGGCATATCACTTAATGGTGGAGGAACGTCAAAGTCTATGAAATGGCTACATACAACACCACATTGTGGTTTGTCATGTTTTCTGACCCAACACCAACAAAATACAATTTGCAAGCTGTCACTGAACCTGGATCTGAAGCCATGGTTTGGAGCTGGTTTGCAATATTCCAGTAATTCACAGTTTCAATTCAGAGACTGAGTTTGGGCTGGGATGCTACTCCATCCTCAAAAGCCACAATTTGGGATAGTATACAGAAATAATCAAAGAAGGTATGAGAAATCATACAAATCAAGGCTCACCTGAACTGCAAGTCATAGTTTGGAGTTACGTCTGAATCAACCTGGGTGGAAGCAAAATCTTAGCCAATCATCTAGGTGTTTGCAAGTGACAAATAAAACCTGAAATTATTGCTTGTAATTTTTCCTTTTTTTAAGAAACAAGATTTTTTTTCTTGTTTTTGAACTTTAAAATAAGACTTGCTTCCCTCTTGGAATGCCCGTGATTAACTTTGCATCATAGGCGCATAGGCATTTCAGGAAATGCTGCAAGGTCAAAGCCTATGCAGATCCCCACACTGCTATGAGCAGGCATGATATATTTTTAAAAATTAAAAAACAAGGAACACCTGTCACTTGTATTGCAGGAATTAAGCACCAAGCAACAATCCTTGCCCATACACTGCAAGTCTCTCAAAAATTCTCCTACCCCACCTTTATCTTTAGGTAAATCTTCCCCACAGCCAAATGACAGAGGAAAAAGACTCAGCTAAATGATTTGACTTAGCTCTAACTGGAATATTTGGAAACTGGGCATTAGAAAGGGGTTCAAACAACAGGCAAGTAAACAATTGGAATGAATATCAAAGAACGTTAGCCATAGGAAAACAAGAAATGGTATAATTATTCCAGGGACCAAAACCCCAGCTTCTGAGATCTAGTCAATCAATCACCAGAGCTCTTCCCTAAATGTATTTTAAGCCATTTTTGCCCTTGCAAAGCAATTCTGTACAGAATACAAAACAGACCTGCACAAATAAATTTCTTTCTAAACCTTTAAATACTGTCAAAATGAGCTGACTATGCATGCTGCATTTTCAGTTACTTTTGTAAACTTGCAAGTGTGTTTAAGTGTTTAGATGCCTGTATTTCATTTTGTAAAAAGCAACACCTTTATTCAGTGCTCTTTTAAAAATTAGTTTATAAGCTCATCATGCAAAAAACTTGAGAGAATAAAGTTTAGTTGAGAGATTAAGAAAAGAGGGTATGGTGTGCCTCCTATTATCTTAATTATAAATGCAACTATAAACTTTTCTAACTTCTTCCAATATCATTTAATATCGCAGCAGTCCCTTGCCACAACTGTATACTTCATATAGTAAATCAGAACAACCAAAACATCATAAGAAATATTATAATCTCCAGCTGGAGTGGTACCTGATAATGTTCTGTCATTAAGTTGAATATACCACAAGAAATTCCATTCATGGCTTATGAGAGCTAGGCTAAAACACACTGGAGCTGATGGAGCATGTGCTTAGCATGATCACTTGGGAAACATAAAAGTGCCTCTTTACCTATATTATCTATGTACTGCCCACTGTTTGTTTACTACTTGGCCAGCACAATCCTAAGCATGTTTTCTCAGAACTAAAACTGACTGAGTTCAATAGGCTTGCTTCCAGGTAACTGGGCACATAATTTCAGCGTGAATATTTAAATAAACCTGAACTGTCAAACCCATTTGTATACAGAGTATTCAATTACTATACCACACTCCTCACTTTGAGGACATGTCCACACAGTGGAGATTTTGCCAGGTATGGTAGTCAACCTACCTCATGAAGTCTGTACCACAGCCCTAACTCAGAAGATTCATACCACAATTTTGGAAGTCATTTCTACAATTACTTGATTCTACAAGGCAATGTTTGCTCACTCCAGTGCTGCACTGTCCTCCTCCTTTTGAGGCACAACTTCAACCATGAACAGCCCCGTTATATCACCATTACCTTGGACAAAAAACTTTTTAGTTGTGCTCTGAGCATCAACACCTGGGGATAAACACACTGGTTCACAAGTTTGATATATTTTAAATAACCAGTTGGTCCAACAAAAGTTTACTTTTTTGTCCAATGTCTCAATCCACTTGGACCAATGTAGTTATAGAATATTCTGGCTCATCGTAATACAGTGAAGAAACAAATAATATAATCAATCATTACTAAGTGAAAAGAAAAACCTATGGGGAAGCCAGTAAATCTCTAAGAAGAAGGCAAAATAAAGAATAAAAGTTTTACTTAACAGTCTCTTTAACCTTTATAGTAGAATCATGTTTTTTGGCATCAAAACATTCAGTTTATAGACAGTTAACCTCTTTGTGGTTGTACAGCAGATACAAGATTTGGTAAAGTTCCCCTATCAATACATCTACACTGCACTTCTAACACCTTATAGAATGTGATGTTCAAAGGCGATATCCAATTGAAATAAAAAAAAACCTCTTTAAACTTTAACATTAATTTAAAAACAGAAACAAGCTGACAAAGAAAGGTGCACAGTGGGAATATAAAGAACTACACATTTCCTAGAATTTTGTTAAAAATGTAGTATCCCGATATTTAAACAACTGCTAAAGAAATCTCACGTATGTAAGTACTATAAGGTGCTAAACATGGCAAATGCAAGTTTACTGAAGTAACATAAGGCAGTTCCATGAAAATATTGACGTCAATTTCTTTGTATCTCTCTTGGCCAGGCCACATGCTTCCGTTTTCCTTTTCCTTTTAAGCATGATAAAAGGATGCAGATTAAGTAGTTTTCTGTAAGGGGGCTCCTGGAGAGACACTGTGTATTTAAAGTTGTTGAGGTCACTGAAGTGCATTTTAGTGATGTCCAAGTGTTAACTAAAAACTGGAATTTGAACAGCAGATGTGATGCTTTTACTTCACATACAACAAAACTGGTGCCAAAACACATTAAACTAGTTACTGGTAACCTTTTGGTCCAAATACATAAAATATGCATTATTTACAGCATTTTACTCCTTTTGCAAATGCAATGCTTTAAAACACATTATAAAGCACCTTAGTAAAAATATTCTACAGGTAAAAGTATCTAAGTAGGAAAACCCTAACCATACCACAGCTCACTAGTTGAGTCATAATATGGAGTCACCAGTTCTTTAAAATACAAAGAATCCATGGAACAATGATACAGAATTCACTATTTGTTTTATATTGATGTGCAGGCAAAGGCCAGCTTTTTAGAGAGTTTTCCCAACATTAATGGGAATTGCAAAGGATATTAAAGGAACACTGCCTTGATTTTCGGCATTTTGACAAGATCACTATGGAATTTGAATTTTTAAATACATTGATTGGTTCTAGCTTCTTAAAATGAAAACCCACACTTACAAATATGGGCAAATCCAGCTGCAGCATTTTCTTAGCAGAACATGATCGAACATTCCAATGAATGTCATGTGATATAAATTCACAAGAACAAAGCACAAATGTCAGCCAGTTATTAATATTATTCATAAGTGTATACCACCCAAATCTCCATGTTGAGGCTAGGGAACCAACAGCTTCCTCTTCCCAGAAAGCTAAGTAAAATAAGCTGTCTTGTGAATCAAAAAGACCATATAGGGAAGCCTTTCATCTTTATAGTTTCAGCTACAATTGGTGAGTTGGTAGTTTTTGTAAATACATATTTAGGCTTCTCCAGGTGTAGGGCAGCAACAACTGTATACTTTTGGATTACCAATGTGTTTAGTCAGTAGCCATTTTCTTCGAGCAACCATAGTTCATTCTACTAAGCTCAAGACTGATGTGCCTCAGTTTATCAGAAATATACAAATTGGGGCTGAGAATAAGGATATAGCCACAAGGTTTAGTTCCTTAACCTAAAAATATGCATTGTTCTTAGTTCGATTTAGGGTAGATCTTTTCATAGAAAAAGTTTTGTGCCAGAATATATAGTTCTCCATCTTTTTCCCGAACTGCATGTGCTCTGACAAACTGAAATTGCTCCAGTGCAAATTCGTAGAACTCATTCTCCATCTTCCATATTTCAGACTGCTGCAGCTTTGCAATAGTCTCTTTTGTGGGGAGTTTTTTCTCCGTTGTCTTCCTAAGATGAGACTTCTTGCCTAAAAGCAAAATATAAAGTAATAAATTTACTTTGATTTATATAACGTGGATGATCCCAGAAGTCTACAATGGGGGATGGGGGGAGAGAGAGAGCACAAACAGTATTCTCCAGTCAGCTTGTTGCTAAATGAGAACACAAAGTGACAGAGCTTGGATCAAGATTTATTAAGCTTCTAGGAGGGATAGAGCAGGAGCCCTGACATTAAGCATAAATGCATTTGCATTAGTGTACTCTTGCTGTTTAAAGGGTTAATTACTGAAACAATAAAGAAGCGTTTGCATGGGGAGCTGCATTTCCTCACATCACATCCATTTAAGATATCTGTTTCAACCATGACTAATGCCTATTTGGAAATTCAGTACTATTGATAATAAAGTTAATAGAAAACAGGCTACATACCAACTGTGCACATAATTTGATTAATATAAATGACTGCAAGTTTTCTCATGGCATAAGTTTTTAATCTCAACTTTTTTCCCTTAGAAGCAAGCAAAACATCCCAGCCATTTACTGCAGGCACATGCCATTAGCTACATGTGAAACATATAGTATTGTATATACCCTCTTGCCTATCAAAGCCAGTTTCCAAGGTTCTATCACACTCAAGCATAATAGGCAGAGTAACCTTAGACCCTAGAGTATGTCCAGAGGGCCTTAGGCTGCTTAGCATTCCAATCTCCAAGGTCAGAAAAGAGCTTTGACCTCAGAGCTGGGGATGTGCACTTGGATCCTGCTCCCCTCCACCTCAGCTAGGTGGCTGAAGAGAGCCATCTAGGCAATTTGCAAGGTGGAACAAGCCTTTTTCCCCACTCTGTACAGGATGCTCATAAACCTCTGGGTTTGGAGGCTTAGGGACATTCCCATTGGACTTCACCCTAAGACAGAGAAACCAGAATGAAGATAGGAACAGAGGAGCTGGTTTGATTATCGGTGGTTGCTGGAGTCCATAAATCACAGTGGAATTACTGAAGCAGGCAGGCCAGGAAGTTGTGCAATGTGGCCAGGGACAACACCCATCACTGATTGCTCAGATTTGTATCTGATATTTAGGATGTGAGGAGGATAAATCTGGGCTGATCCTAAAGGAGATTTGGAATACTGATTAGCTTGATGCCAGGCAGGAAGTTTTCCAGAACAGTCAACTATTCTGTCACTGAATGGTTACAGATTCTTTTCATATGACTATGGAATTCATTGGTACCTGGAGTCCAACATAAACATGGCAGTGCCATTCCTGCTTCATTGGGCTTACAACTACAGAAGAACCTACTGGGCAAAACCCAGAAACATATAATGTCCAGTACATCCAAGAAGAAACTGGAAATAGCAACTGGGATCAGATGGAACCACATGGGCACTAAGTCTCTCAGAAATAACAAATTTCACTACCATCTCAGAAAAATAGCTCATTCACGTCCTAAAGGGTCACTCTAAAGAGTAAAGTTTTGTTTAAAAATGCTGACTTAATGCATGGTCAATACCTGTGCGGTACAGTTCTGTAGCACCCCTGAAGAAGCGGGGCAAAGCTGCCTCCAGCAACATAATAAAGTCTTCAAGTTCTTCAGTAACTCCCACTAGGAAATATTCATTAATCAAGTTGTATTTGGCTTGTTCCAAAGCCCATCTGCTTCCCACATTCCTAAAACGATAAAAAGTAATTACAGGAAGGTTTTGATGTCTGCCAAGAATTTTGGTTCCCTTCATTTAGATATTCTCACACCAGGCTAAAAGAATGGCTTAGCTGTTATCTTTGCACAGACAAGAAAACAAAGTTTCAGCCACACACATTTTTAATTTCCTTTGCTTTTTTCCCTGCTCCCCAGTTTTGCTCCTTTCATTGCCTAGGTTAGATGTCAAAAGATTTATGGATCTGATTTCTAACTTTTTGATAACACTAATGCCTTTTTCAAATGTGCTGTGCACTATTCACTGTGGAAAGTTTTGCCGTAGTAGCAAAGTTTTTAAGAGTATCACTTCTGACATAGAATAAAAATAGAAACTGAAAGGCATATTTAAGCTTTACTCCCAGGCATCTACAACAAGACTACAGAATATTTGCATTTTAACTCCCCAGAGAGCTTTAGCCTTTGGGTGGTATAGAAGTTCCGTCAATCAATCAATCAATCAATCAATCAAGATAGCTTTACTAGAGGACAAATAATGAAGGAAAGTGCAAGTTTCTGGGCCGCTTATTCCTTCATATGGCACATCAGACTTTGCAAGCACTTGCTCATGCCTTGTGCCAAATAAAAAGATTACCATACACACATTTCTCCCCTACACAGAAATACAGTGTGGGAAATTCATACCTGAAATGGCATTCCAACACAGCATGTTTGTCACAATATTAGTTTGGGTTTTTTTTAAAACCTGTTATGTCCACCCTTCTTTTCCTACTGATAAATTGAACCAAATTACTGTGTACCAACTGCTAAATTTCAATTTCCTGACCACTTTCAGAAAGAAAATTATTCAACTGTGATGCATACACAGCCATTCATATTTACATTACAGTTGTTATAAAGACTATTTCCTTAACTAAAAATGAGGGTACGTGTAGCTCTTACATACTGAATTTTTCTATTTATATGCATTATAACAAACAGAACTGGGAAAAGAGCTCTACTTAAAACAGCTTTTACTCAGACATTAACATGGGGGTTTAGAAAAAAATCTACACCTTAGTTTGAAAATGGCTGACAGCTGTCTGCAGTGTTCAAAACAACTTTATTCTTTAGTACTTTGGAAGATAACCATCAAGTACACTTGTTAATTAAGGTGCAGCCATGTTCTAATTTTCTGCTGTGCATTCTGATTTGCGAAATACAATTTACATGAATAATATATTTGATCTGCAACTTTAACCAGCTTCATATTCTTACCAGCACTCAGAACTGTGGCCACAAAAGAACGGAATTTGAAGCCAGAGTTTCTCAGGGGCACAATCTGAGCCTCCAGCTGCTACACATTCATCAAAAGTCTGGAACAAAGACAAACATTCAGAAGCAAGCTTTACATTTCCATCTTGCATATCAAACTTCTTAATGTGGTTATGCTGCTAAATGAATGTGCACTACAACTGCATTATTTCACAAGAGCTTCCCACAACTGTGCCTGCATGCATCAACCATGCCTGAGTCAGCCTGTGTTGATTGCAGGGTCATGGACACATGAAGGCAGATGGCAAACACAGAGTTCAATGTAATGCGGCTTTTCTCAGCACTCAAAGAGCGACTGCAATGACTTGTGAAGAGCTGAGTTACATTTAGTTCTGTGGGAACCAAGAGTATTCACAATTGCCTTGGTACTGGCTAGAAATGAACCACATGATTCAAAATGGTCCACTATGTTTCATGGATGTAAGAATATGTCCATTTTGAAAGCAGTTGTATTGTATTTTGTTAATAGTACATAATTTAAATATTAGTTATATTCTGTCTAGAACAGCAAGTCTGTCAGTAGACTAGTCATATTGGTATGACCACAGCAGAGCATGCAAAAATTGAAAACTAATTCTAAAGACTTAAAGGCAAATGTTTGTCCACTTGCTAGACAACTGTCTGGTACTGCTGGAGCAGAACTCCAGCAGAAATTGCACAGCAACAAAATCAATACTCAATGGAAGGAAGAAATTGCACGGGAAGTTTTGCATCACTTTAATCAAGATGATGTCAGTTGTGCATCAAGTGAATTTGTCTGCAGACACTAATCTGAGCCATGTATTAAAATGCTGAATTATCAAGGGACTGAAGGGTAGAATTATCAACTAGGTAAGAGCTGAACTAACTTGATTCTTGCCAGCAAATTGTTCAGGCATTAGCAGCAACAGTACTAGAGCCTTTAAGACTTTATTCTGTTGTTCCAATATAACTGTGTAGTAGAACTGGAACAACTGTCCCATAGCAGTTAGAGAGAAAAGTATGTCCTGAGTTATACTGGACTGATTTTGAAGCTGAAATGTAGATTGCTCTACTGCAGATATGATTTTAAATCAACGAGCTACATGTGGGTGGGAATGTCTTTGCTCTGTGCGTTCTTATTTGCTTTCATAATTAGTGAAAGTAAATGCTTGGGAGCTGCATGGAATGTGCATGTTACATTTTATGGTAATGAGCCCCAGGGGATTGTTGTATCATCCCTCACCCTACAAACAAGCTACCCTGAAAAACCATGGTCTGTATGAGGGCTTAGTTCACACATGGTGGGTTGATGGGCTAGCTGAACCTGGACAACTATCCTGATGGTGGATTGTGGGCTATGGTGAGGGAGTCTCTTGGCAAAACTGGCAAAAACAAGCAAACCAAAACAACTAGCTACTCTTGCCAGGCGCAACCAAGCCACAACTAGTGCCACTTGTCCCACCAGTGTCTAAGAGGCAAGTTGGAGTGACCATCAGAACCTCACTTCCCCCATCTATGTAACAATTAGAACTTGTTTTAGCTTGCTGCAGGTCTCTTCCTCTCCTTTCCCCCTTTTCTTTTCAGAATTACTTTTTATGATCTCCTTTCTGTCAGGCACTAATAACCCCTAACATGGTGCTCAGGCAGCTCACTGGAATGCTTTCAGTGGTTTCCTATCCTTAAAAAAAACACTCCAAATGTATGCAGTTTCCTTAATTTTTTGAATAATTTTAGCTGGAATTATACAATTCCATAGGTGCAACTGTGCACACTTCTGTGCATCCAAAAGGGAGTGCCTGCTGTCAAAATGGAGCAGGCACCAACCATGGACATTGATCCAGAAAGGCTTCAAATAATTTTGAAGGGGTTAAAAATTATTTTCTACTTTATCTTCATAGCTATGTGAGCTGCCATTTAAAAACAAAGACACAAGTGATCTTTGTAAAGGAAAAGGGGTAGAGGGACTCATTACTGCCTATGTTCCTATGGAAAAAAGGTGGAAGCCATGAGAAAGAAAGACAAACATACAGCAAGATGGTCAGAAAACGTTGAAAAGGAACCAGAGGTTTGACAGCCAGCTGTTAAACTTCTGTTGGCCAGTAAAAGCACTGAGCCTTGGAAATGAATGGAAAAGTTTGGGGTACTGAGATCCCAAGTACAGAAGCAAAGAAATACCTGAGGATACAAGTACCATGAGGGATAATGATGGGAGAGAAAGAAATCCATTTACTTTATAGAGTTTACAAATTTATGGGTAATCTATTATGCTAGGGTATATATGCATGCATATGAAAAGGCACAGAGCCATTCACCCTTAGTACATTGGAACTTATATTTTTGTCTGACAGGAATGTAAATTCCTTTCATTCTTGCTATCTACCTATGTTATAATCAATGCATCCAAGCAATCTTTACAATCTCAAAATACATTTTAAATATAATTGGAATATGTTAAAATGTTGTCCGTTTGTGAGCATTATTAAGTTTAGAACAAATTCATAGCTGCATAAGCAAGCATTTGCTCAAATACTCAAATCAAATGCTTGCATTATTCTGTCTGATGTAAATTTGGTTTGGGTGATGGTGATACCTTCTCATATTATTTAACTGGCAATCTCTGGATAACTGCACCATGAAATTATTGACTGTGCAAGCCTACTTGTATGTCTACTAGTATGATAAAGTTTGGAGGATGCCAGCCATGGACAGATGTTCCTTGTTCAAAATCAAACCAGGTTTCTATCACTCTCCCACACCCCAAATTACTGCACAGCAATTCAACTTAATCCAGTCTTTGCACTCTCTTCATTGGGTTGACTGCAAAGCTCCTGTGATCAGAGCTCTGCTCATGGAAGGAGACCTCCTGGTGCCTGCTAACAGAAGCGGGCAATCTTCGATGAGTCTATTGGACCGCCCCCGCTACACACACACACACAAAAGAACAGTGTGGGACGTTACACAAGGAATAGAGAGGATTGGTGAAAATCCCTTCTCTTCCTCCCAGATGAGCAGATGCCTCTGCTGAATGAAAGATTCTTGTGTTCATGGAAGAATCCTGTGAATGGATGTCAACATTTGATCCAAACCATTATTTTGGACAAAATGTTCTTTTGAAAAATTTCTTTCTTTTGCTGCCACTGTGCTTAGCATAACTATGACCTGCATAGCTAAGATGAAGTCATTAACAAACTACCAAGATGTACTTTTACTTTTTTATCCCCTTGCTTTCGTCTTCGGAGTCCAGGCCTGTAATCATCACCAAAGCGCAGGAAGTAATAATAAGAAACTAGTCGTTCTATGGGATCTCTTATGACATTGATGTATATTGGTTTCTTTTTAATGCCAAATCTGAAATAGAAAAAGAAAATCAATTGACAAATCACATAATTCCCTGTATGATGTTAAAGTGAATCAAGTTTGTTTCAAATGACTGTTTCATTTCTGTTTCATTTTAAGTCAGTCAGGAGAAATAATGAGAAGTAGACAATACCATTTCTGTTTCAAGATCTTAAGGCATATACATGTTTTAGATTTTTTGCAAAGAAAAGTCCCCACATCTTATCCTAATACATTCCATTTTGATGGTTTTAAAACATTTATATTTAATATTTACATATAACCCTTCAGTTTATTTTGTCTAACAGGTATTATCAGCAGAAGTCCTGTCTGGTACTTCTGCTTCCAACAGATGCAGCCTTTTAAAAATATGCTTTGTAACCAAGAAGATAACCCAGCTGATGCAACTGCAATGACTAGATGAGGGGAAGGTATGGCAATAAGGGAGAAGCTCAACTTTTGCTTTTCTAAACTGTTGTTGCAAACTGGTAGCTGAAAAAGTAATTAAATACTAGCTCAGTTAAGTAGCAGAAATCTTGTAAAATTGGAAAAACAGAGGCAGGGTCAGCTAAAAATTCTTTCCTCATCAAGGGGAGGAGCTATCCTGATCCCATGAACTATACTCAAGGAACAAGTGCTGCCCCCCTCAATCCCTTGCTGAAAAAACGGGGCAACAGCCTTCAACCATTGCTAGAGAAACTACATTGCAATGAAAAGGCAGAGAAACTCCTGTAACAAAACACAGAGAGACAGAGAAGACCACAGACCAGGGAACTTGCTACCACAAAGCATCCTGCTCCTCCATATACTGAGGAAGCAGATTCTGGAAAAGAAAAGGTAGACAGAATGTGCTCTCTGATGCTCACAGAACAGCCATTCACAGTGGGAAAATTTCCAATTTTTTGGAGCTCTACAGTGGGCAATGCTTACCCTGGGGTATAGCAGAACCACTAGTCACATAAGATGGGCTTCTACAGATCACTGCTTACACTATACTTTACAGCTAAAGGCCAATGATGCAGAAGCAAACCTGTCAGTCTTACAGTGTTTTGAAGCTGTAGGTACCAACACCCATGCAGCTGCCTGACAAAGGTTCTCTATGGGAATGTTACGCCCAAAAAGCAGCTGTGGATGCTGCTCTGCAAAGGGAATGCTCAATAATCTCTCTTGATAGTCTCTTACCCACAGCCAGCAAGATTCACTAAAACCATAAGGCTGAAAAGCATGAACCCCCTCCCCCTGCTCAGTGTTAATCTCATAGTCCTCAACAGTATGGAAGAGAAAGTGGAAGAGGGTGGGGAGAAAGAACAAAGGGCAGAGAGAAAAGATACAAGACAACAATATGCTAAGGAAAGAGAGAAACAAAAATGCTACATTTGAGGTTGGGCTCTTAGGAGCTCTAACCTGATCCAACTACTGTGCTCACTAGACAGTTTGGACTGGACAATGAAGACAACTCCTCCAGCTGCAGAAAAGCATTATTAAATGATCCTGCCTATTTGCAATGTGGAATGCCATGCTAGACTCAGGAGAGGAGTTTAGTCCTTTGGTTTTATAACCTAAGTTGTACTTCAAACATTTCACACAATGATATCCTAATGACTTAAGCACAATTCTTAATAAATTTATGTATTTCCATTTATATCCTATTCTTCAGAAAAAAATCTGAGTGCATAACTGAGTATCTTAATGACATCATCATCTATAAAGCGACATTAATGTGCATTAGACACACAACTTTAGGAAGAACCCAAAGAGACTTATTTTTATCTGCAGCTCCAGTTGTAGTTTGACACAGAGCAGCGCATCTTTATGCTAGGCTGGTAAATCGTTGCACACTAATTAGTACTACGGTTTGTAGCTAAATAAGCATGAGCTACTGATTGGATACATCTTGCACCTCACACTGAGTATTGCTGATTTAGCAGAACAAGCTTAATAGAGTAAGAAATAAGTTTTCAAATGTTTTTGATGATGTGCATATGACAAGTTCTTTTATTGAATGTTCCAGTTTTCCTGATGTGTAAAAACAAATTTCTGTTGTTTAAAGGAACATGGTAATCAATTACATGCAAAGAATATACATCAAAACTAGCCTGTAACTTTCAAAATTAGGGCTCTGAAATGCACTTTCAAAGCTTTATCACCTGACTGACAAGAGCATCTAAATTATTTTAATTTCTTCCTTGTGTGTTACCAAAGTTGCTGAAAAGTGGCAAGGTGAATGAGCAGCCATAGGTATGGAACAGACACTTATCAAAATTGCTTGGATTATTTCAGCCTTATTTGCCTTGAGGATGTTGATAAAATGCTTGGGGTTGTGGAGGTCGTAATATGTTTAGTTCCCTGCCCAACTGGGCTGATTAGAGCCAGTTAAATAAGAGCTTAGAGGCCCATACCTCATCTTGGGGAAGGAAGGTGTTGTCTTTTGTTAAAAGCACGCCTCAGTTACTCCTGAAAAAATAGTGTTCAGACAGGGATGTTTTAAAAAGTTTTAGAGAAGCTTCAAATCTCCTGCTTGAAGAGAAAGCAATGGAAAACATGGTAGCAGCTGAACTGCAGACAAAGCTAGGCATGCCATCCTTTCTCAGCCCATTTCTAATCTGGTGTAGAACCCAATTGGTGTCTAAATACTCTTAAAGCAAGCAGAAATACACATTTCTGGAACATGGCAGATCAGCAGAGTTTACACAAGGTTCTACTGACCTCTCCTTATCTGGAAATAAGCACTTCTGCTAGTTTCTGGGGTTGTTTAGATCAGTGGGTTTCAATCATCAGTCCATGGACTGGTGCTGCTCTACAGATTTCCTACTGGTCTGTGGGGGACAGAGGGGTGCATCCTGGTCACCATGGAGTGGCGCAGGGGCTGACTGTGCTCCACCATTTCTTCCTTGGTTGGCATCATGTTTGTGGGGGCACTGGTGCTGCCAATGGCACCAGGAAGGGGAGAGATGGCTTGGTGGGAGCCAGATGGGAGCGATGCAGCACCAATTTTGGTCTTTTGTTGGCATTTTCTGTTGCTCTGTTTCTGGTTGTTTTGGAGAATTTTCAATTTTGGGGTATTATGTTTGGAAACTATTACACAGAATACAGTATTATGTGTATAGTGGTTTTTGTTTCTGCCCCAGTGCTCCCCGAGGTGGTTTTCCTGTTTTCACAAGTCCCCAGTTGTGGAAAGGTTGAAAACCACTGGTTTAGATGATGCTAACTTCCTCTTGCACTAGTGATTCCACTGTTGTGGAGGAAAGAAAGGAAGCAAAGTGGCAGAACTGACTATTGCTGCTCTCTTCCAACCTACTTATGGACCTGTGTTTCTGCTGATCTAGATTCTATTCTATTTATTAAAATCTGCCTCAAGCTTTGAAGAGGTGGAGCATAAATGTGACAGGCACTCACTAAACTTAAAGTGTCCCTTATGATCAGGAAGGCAAAAAAGGTGAACCAGGGCCTGAAGCAGAGGCAGCACTTAGCTTTCCATGAAGGTGCAGCTGCCACAACAGAAAGAGGATGTGGAATGAAGTGTAGTGCCAACAGCATCCATCATATCTCTTGTCCTCCATGATGGGAGGAATAGTTCAACATATGCCTCTCTTCCCTCATGCACAGTAGATAGAGAAGGTTAGTTACCATCTCAGTCCCTAGGGAGGGTAAAGCATGTTGTTCCTTCTTGTTTCCTGTGCACAGTTTATCACAAAGCAGAAAGAATATCCAACTAAGTCTCTCCTGACATTTCTCTAAGGTAAACAATGAACCATGATAGAATTCTGCAGACAATTTGTGGCCCTCTAGATATTCTGACACTGCAACTGTCAGCTATTAGACAATATTGAAATGAAATACTACTACTACTACTACTATCAACAATAAAAAAATTCCTATCACCCCTAGCCAGGACATCCAGTAGTGAAGAATCATGGGAACTGCACCCCAACAACACCTGGAGGACCACAAGTTGCCAATCCCAGCTGCAGACATTCTACTGTCTATTTGATGGCATTAGAAAGCCAAAGTAAAGTAATGCTATAATTAAAAGGGACAAAATGGCAAAGAGGCAATATGAGGTCCTGATCTCTACCCTCCCTAGATGAATTTCCAAAATATTCAACCACCACTGTTGTTGTGGTAACTTTTGAGAGTGTATACTGAATCAAAGATTGTGCTAGAGTTTATTAAGGGAGATGAATCTTTACTGAAAGATTGTATACTTCTCAACTGAAAGAAAACAACCACCCAAGTTACTCTCATCTTTTGCCAAGAGCAAGCAAAGCACTCAATATATTATTTTAATAATGGAAACCACAAATATAAGAAAGCAAGCTGTTGTGGGGTGGGGGGAAAGAAAGAATAAATCATTTAGGTGAAAGGGTAACAAACAGAAACACAAGGATAATGCAGCCCTGGAGGAAAATATGCATATGAATGAAATTTGTAAAATTGCTTAGCTGCCCTTCTTGTGGTAAAATGATTTTAGATTGAAAACTTACAGTGCCTAAAATGTTTTAAGCTGTAGTCTATGAATAATGCATAAAATAGAGTAACACTTACCTAGCAGTTCACAAGGTTATTATTTCATTATATATTCAACACAAGAGGTTTATTAATATAGCATTTTGCACTTCCAAATTTGAAGGAAGCAAAGCAATTTTATGCTCAAGTTTCTTTGAGAAAGTTTGGCAAATTTTCTGTGTATGCATTATTTCAACTTGGAAATGTTGCACTTGCTCATGTAGCTTTCAGTATCTATGCACTATTACAATGAACAAAGAAAGAGGTACTTTATACATAATATGCAACTTCTGAACTTTCATTTTTTCCCCAAGTTTGTCACAACATATGCAATAAAGTGGAGTTTCACATACTCACTATGTAAACCAAAATATTTCCAGTTTAGTTATGTCAAGTAATATTCACCAATGGGGAAAGACATACAAATTGATGAAATTTGGATAAAATATGGATAATGTTCAACAGCCCCTCAAGCCATTCTTGTACAGTGTTTCCATTGTATAGGCATAGTTGCAGTTTATAAGCTAGAGCCAGGCTCAGCAAGTGCTGCCCCCTAGTTGTTTTGCATAACAGTTCCCATAAACCCTTGCCTGCATACTCAGCAGCAGTCCAAATATTTGGTGGGAATGAGAAACCTGAATGAGAATATGATAATCCTCAAAATGTCTGTGCAGACTCCCTGCTAATCTACTGTAGACTGGCAGAAGTACAGCCTGAATAAAGTCTACAGTGGTAGCAACAATGATTAACTCCCTGCAGGCCAATGAATATGCTTTCTGAGATTAGGGGAGAGACTTCTGACACTGTTTAATACTTCCATCAATTTAGGCATTCGGGAAACTTCCATTCTAAAACAACCCACTTGGTAAAATACAAATGCACATGCTTCAGCAAAAATTTTGACTCACAACACTGGTTAGTATATTTTTCAGCAAATACAAAAAAGTAAGCATTTAGAGAACCATTTATTACTACTTGGAGATTGGTCTGCATTGGACTGTATGAAGAAATCTAATGATGTATTCAAAGAGGCAGAAAGTCCAATAGCACTGAATCAAAGTGCTCACTGCCTGTATGCAGTAGGCTTGAACAGAAATACCAACTGACATTGAAACAAAAGATCTCCCTCCAAGTATTTGGACCTAGAGCTACTGTTGAATGGCCAGCCTAAACACAGGATCTAAGACCTCTGGGAAAATGACTTCTAATAATAAAGCCTATGTGGCAGGGCAGGTGGCCACTACCAAGGTTAGGGGAAGGAGTGGCATCAAACAGTTAGTAGTATTTGGAAAACAATGAAATTCAAAGAATCATAACTAGTTAGGGACTAAAAACGTAGGGGTAGGCAGAGAAGTGACTAATTTCTCTGATATGATGCCAAGCAAGATTCCTCTGGAATAAAGAATGGTGTACAGATATCTAGCAATTATACTCCTGTTCTCTGATATAAGCAGTATTTCTTAGAGTTCGTAGTCACCAAAACATGTTAGCAAGAAGGGAAAGTACATGTAAAGGAAGAAAAAGATAACTTGAATTAGAAGTCAATAGTATAAAAGTGGAAAGATAAAACTGTACTAGAACTAGAAATAATATGAATATTGAAAATTTCACACAGTGAAATGTCCAACTTTGACCATTAGAGGGCAGTAAAATCTAACAAGAACCACACTTGAACTAAAATTCAACTGATCAGGAAATATTTCACATTCAAACTGTTTCAAACTGAAATGCTTGTGACACAGCTTACTTTGCAAAATCCAAGAAGGATATATGCCCATGATAAAACCCTGGTTTCATCTCTTTCCAGGAAGTTACATTCTTCACAAATCGTACCTGTAAGAAAAAGGAAGATTCCGCAATGTTTAATGAATACCAATTTGCAATGGAATGAAATAAGTTAGAGTAAGTGAAGCAATTCAGCTAATAAGAGCATATGATACCTGTGATATTAATACAAGCTCACTGTTCAAGAATTCTCAAAATATCTGTGTTCATTCACAATGAAAATGTGCTTCTATAAGGGCTCAAAATGTTTCTCATGTATCGAACAGTCAGTAAGGTGAGCAAACAGTCATCACTTTATAACAGGTCCCTGTGTGCACGTGTGTGAACATGAGTATGAGAAAATAGTGGCTTGCCTAAAACCACTGGAGAGCTCGTGGGTGAGCTGAATTCTGAACCATAGTTTTCCCACCCTATAGCACATGCTCTTGACCACTATTTCAGACAACCTCTAAAAATAAAGTATAATAAGTAGCAAAGAACCACCCAACATTTAGAATGCATGTTTATTTGCTTTCTGTGTAGTGATATATTTATAACTAGTGTGTTAAAATCTTCCCTTAGTGACATTTCTTCAGTCCTTACCTATAAGCTTCCTGGTAGCTTTTGACAAGCCAATATTTTCTCAGCTCCCCATCTACAACAAATTGTATATATGCAGAGTGTTCTTGTTCAAGTTTCAAGATATTCCCCTCTGCCCCCGATTTCTCCTGCCAAACTTTTTATCCAGCCAGCATTCTGGAGGCATTGAGCATGCTCAGTCCTCATTGGACTGTTTTACAGTTTGATTTTGTACTTCTGCAAATATCCATATTTCCCACAAGCCTGCTGATACCTGTGCATGAAAAGGATGATACCTTTTTGGATGCCAAAGGACAAGTATTCAGAAAACTGAAGCTAATATTAGTATATATCAGAGGTGGCCAAACTGAGGCTCAGGAGCTGCATGTGGTTCTTTGAATTTATTTTATGACTTGCTGCTAGCCGCCTGGGGCACCTGTGGGTGCCCACATGCCACTCGTTGCCCACTGGTGCCACCTACCACTCACTGTGGACACCCACTTGCAGCTCTTAAACACCTGACATTTACCATATGTGGCTTTTCCATTGAGCAAATCTGGCCACTCCTGATACTCAAAAGGTAGCAGTGTATCTGAAAACAAAAGGAGGGTTCCACCAAGATGCCATCTTTGAGCATTAAATTATTTAACCAAGTTAGGTGGCCAAAACCATTGCTTGGCTTTATCAGACAGATTAATACCTTTGAATAACTCTACATGTAACACTCTAATATTGCAGTTCCAGAAACTGATTTGCCAAAGCACACACACAAATACAAAATCAGATCCTGCACCAGATCTCTAATAATAGATTAAAAACATATGGCCTTTACAAAGAAAAGAGAAATACCTGATTGCACTGCTCTCTTAAATAATCAGAAATCACTGTATTCTAGTTGACAGAAATTGGTATTTCTATAATCTGTTTGAGTTTGGTTGACTATATAGAGGCAGGAAAAAAAGTTCATTCACGCACCCTTCATACTATCATAAAATACATTATCAGAGAGAGGAAAAGTGAGAATGAGAGTCTAAATAAGCTTCTAGGCTAAGTTTGAGCACTTACGTCCGTATATGCCCGACCGCCCTTTGAGATCTGCGGGAGAGTCCCTTCTCCAGGAACCCTCCATGAAAGAAATTAGGAGAGTAAGTACTTGGAGGAGGGCTTTCTCTGCGGTGGCGCCCAACCTATGGAATTCACTCCCCAAAGAGGTCCGCCTGGCACTGTCGTTACTGGTTTTTCGGCACCAGGTAAAGACCTTTTTATTTAAACATCATTTTAATTGTTAAAATATATGATCTGGCCAGGGCAACTTCTTCTTCCTTCTCTTTTCTCCTCCTATATTCTTTATTTACTTATTTTATACTGATAATTTTAATTTTATATTATTATGTTTGTAACTCAGTGTATTTTTTGTATTTTTGTATTTAGTGGTAATTTATTATGTTCTATTGTATTTTAATGTATTTTATTGTGTTGTAAGCCGCCCCGAGGCTTTGGCAAGGGGCGGCATAGAAATGTTATAATAATAATAATAATAATAATAATAATAATAATAATAATATGCATTCTACCAGGGCTGTCTTTGAGGACTGTTCAGACATGTTGTTTTGTGTATAGTGCAACAGCCAAATGAATAACTAGGACAAGTTTGTCCAAACACATAACACCAATTTTGGCCTCCTTGCATTAGCTGCCTAGATGCTTCCAAGCCTATTCAAGAAACTGGTTTTAATACATAAAGCTTTACATGGCTTGGAACCATAATACCTGATAGAATGGCTTCTCCCAACCTCAATGTACCTGGACCATACATCCGCAAATGTGGCTTTCCTTCAACTGCTAACACCAAGGGGAGCCTGAAGACAGGCTAGGAGGTAATCCTTCAACTGTGGAATGATCTGTCCAGGAAGGACCAACTGGTGCCAATGCTGTCATCTTTTCAGAATCAGATTAAAACTATCTTCCATTGCCAAGCATTTAATGTCATGTAATGGATCAGCTGTTTTAATTAGGTCTAGTTTTATTGCAATTGTTTTTGATGTTTAAACTGTCTTAAATTTTGTATATTGAAATTCTGGGCTATTTAAAATCTGCATACTGGATTTGTACGCTGTATTTTATCTTTTTACTGTACTTCAAAAAACTGTTGTGCACTGCCTGGTGACCTTTGACTATTGGGTGATATAGAAATAAAATAAAATTTAATACATTATGTATAAGTAAAGAGGAAAAGAGTCTCCAGTAAATGCTGATGCTAAAAAGGTGGTAATGATAAACTGCTATTTCTTTTTGCATCTGGCAATTGGTAAAAGCAGAGTTGCAGGAGTTCATTTTACACAAATAGCCAACTGTGGCTTATTTAAGCCATGATAGGCTGCAGCACATGTGGGTGGCCATTCTGACTATTCAAGCTGCAACTGCAAGTCTGATGGGGAGGGGCTGTGCAAAATCTGATGGGGATTGGTCATACAAATGAATCTTGCATCATCTAAAGTTTATGTTGTTATTTAAGAGTTTATTTATCAAATCTGTATGCTGTCCATTACTTTCGTCTCTGGGTGGCTTACAATATTATCTCAAAATACAGTAAGTTAACTATTCAGTCCACACTGGCTGAACATCAAATAAAATATAAATAAATCTTCGCACAGTATTTTAAAAATGTATTAAAATATTGATCGAATAAAAAGGTCTTGACCTGGTGCCGAAAAAACATATAATGACAGCGCCAGGCGGACCTCTCTAGGGAGCACATTCCACAGTTAACACTCAGGTCAATGACTCTAAAATTCATCTGCACACCTTATGACATAAGAGGGTTTCTTGAATTTGTCTTAAAGCTGAATTATACAGAAGAGGCTGCAACATTATCTACAGAATTAGTGAAAAGTGTCTCTGCTGGAAGACTTAGGCATATTAATGATTCTGAAGCATCCTAGGGATGACAACACAGAAATCTTTTTGGCTATTGGGAGGTATAAAAGTGTGATAAACAAACACACACAATGATTAGGGAAGCTATACAGTACCTTGTCAAAGCATGCACCCTCTTTTGACTTCACATTTTGTTGTGTTATCGGAAATGGATTTAACTGGCATTGTTACCATTTGATTTATACAAGATACCCAATACTATGAAGGTGCAAAATATTTTTATTGTAGCACGAAGTTAAGGAAACAAAAGCAAACCAACACCTGCCAATTACTTTAAAAAGTCCCTGTGTAGCTCTGATTGTGCAAGTATCCATCTCTTTTACTGTGACTTACTTTATTTATTTATTTATTTATTTATTTATTTATTTATTTATTTAAAACATTTCTATGCCGCCCCATTCGCCGAAGCCTCGGGGAGGCTCACAACATAAAATTAAAATATAATACACCCAAATATACAACAAATTAACAATATAAAATAAGTCGCCCTGGCCAGATAAAATAAGCAAATAATATTAACAATTAAAATGACATTTAAATTAAACGTTTAAACAATTAAAATGACTTGCCTAAATAAGCTCTGATGCCGCTGCTCTAGAAGTCACGTACACATTTTAAAGTTTACCTGTGTGCAAGTTCAGTGTCACATAATCTGAGATTAAATATACCTGCTTCTGGAAGGTCGAAGAGTTTGTTGGAGAGTATATAGTATCTAAACACATAGCATCATGAAGACCAAGAAGCTGTCAAAACAAGCCTAGGATAAAGTTATGCAGAAGTGCTAATCAGGGCTAATTTTGTCTTTTTAAGATCCCAAAATATGAACATCCCCAGGAATGCATAGCATAGCATAGCAGTTTATTATGGTTAGTGACCAGATTGTCCATTAAAAAACAATTCACAAAGTAAGACCATAGCTTAAAATATTCCAACTATTAAAAGACAAAATAACAGTAGACAAATGATATCAATTTGATTAAAATTGCCTGTTACAATTTCTACTTAAAATTTTAAAACACTGCATACAATCTCTTTGTGGATCTTGCAGGCAGTTGTGAAAAATCTAGCACAACAAATTGTGAACTGGGCATTGGTGCCTATAAAAAGCTTCCTGACCAGGAATACCATAAAATTCATTATTACACAATGGAAACAATATGGCATAACAACTCTGCCTAGCGAAGGCTATCCACCAAAACCTAGTGACCAGGTAAGAAGAGAATTAGACATATAGGCAACCAGAAGGCCAGCACTAACTCTGAAAGAGCTGGAGAAATCCACAGCTGAGATTAGAGAAATAGAGATTAGAAGGACAACAATCACCCAGGAACTCCAGTAAGACTGGCTTTATGGAAGAGTGGTAAGAAGAAATCTATTGCTGAAACAAGCTCACATCAAAGACTGTTTGGAATTTGCTGGGAGACACAGCAAGAATGAGACTGGGAAACTGTTCTGGATTGAGGCCAAAGTGGATGGAGCCAAATAAAGGGCAATTAGGAAGAAAACATCTTTCAGTCTGCAATGGATGTGGACAGAAACAGAGGTACCCCTGT